GCGGTCTGGTCTGACCGGTTTAGGCGGTTTGGACCTTTAATGGACTTTAAATATTAAACTTAAAAAACATATATAATTTAGAATTTTAGATTAAATATCCATTTTAACAAAACAAAATATCTAAATAAATAATTGTAATAATTAAGCAGCTCTTGAATACAAAGTCAAAGCAATCCAAAGTACAAACAAATAAATATAGAACAATTAGAAAACAAACAAATTAACAAAATCCACGACTTCACAACCTTCAATGGTTCAATTCTTGAGTCTTGAGTTCTTGACCAAACGAAATAGAAGTCAAATCTAAGTTGATTGAATCACTTGGTTGATGTCTTGATGATGTGCGTCGAAATCAAACCATGGATTAGAAAGATCAATAGATTGATGGAGTTCTTGAGGGATTTCAAAATTTGGAGACCGTCAATATCAAATGTGTCAATATGTTCAATGGTTTAATGATTTTAGTCGTCCATTTTGATTATGTTATATATTAGGCTTAGGGATATATTTGAGTCATAACCAATAAGTTAAAAAAGTTGGGCTTGCTAATATTAAAATAGATATATATATATATATATATATATGTGTGTGTGTGTGTGTGTGTGTATTTGGCGGTCGGTTTGGTCCAAACCGCCCAAAAAAGGCTCCAAACCGCAGACCGGACCGGACCGCCCGGTTTTGCTATTTTCCAAACCAGACCGGACCGTCAGACCGCCAAAAACGGTTTGGTTTGACTTGGTTCGGCCAGTTTGAGCGGTCCAACGGTTTTTTTGAACACCCCTAACCCAACCCAACCCAACCCGATGAACACGATATCCTTTTATTTTTTGGATTTAATATGATTGTTGAATTTTTATTAATGAGAAAAGTCCAAAAAAACCCAATGGACTTTACTGTTTGGAACGATTAAGTCCTTGGACAATTTTTTGGAATAAATAAATCCTTGGACATTCTAGAATCTGTTAAATAAGTCATTGGACTTTACAAAACCTGTTAAATAAGTCCTTGGACTTTTTAAAATCTGTTAAATACATTTTGTTAGTGAAAAAGGTCCGAAAAAACCTATGGACTTTCATATTTTGAACGATCAAGTCCATAAATATTCTTTGAACGAAAAAAGTACTTACATTTATATAAAAAAAACAAATATATCATTCTCATTACTATTCGCAAAATATAAAAGTTGTATCCAAAACATAATAATCTGCATACAAATTTTGGGCATAATTATACCAAAAGTTAAACCAAAAGTTGAACCAAAATATGTAACAAAAGTTGCACAAGAAAATACTAACAATTGCGCCAAATATACCAAAAGTTACGCCAAAAAATACCAACAATTGCGCCAAATATACCAAAAGTTACGCCAAAATATACCAAACGTTGCGCTAAAATATACCAAAGTAATGCCTAATCTATGTTAAGTTCATGGTATGAACTATTCTTCATTTGCATCATTAAATTCTGGTGGAGATATAACCATTCGACTTTTTTGTAACCCTTCTTGATGTATAACAACATCATCACTTCATGATGTTCTTCATCACCAACAGTAGTATCACCTTCATCACGGTCTTCATCGTTAACAACAGCCTCTCTTGAAATTGAATACGGTAGGATGTCTTCGGGCCATGCTGGCTGTGGCACAGGCACAACTGAGGATGTCTGTAATGATGAAAATAAAGTGTAAGCAATAGTCATAAAAAATGTTACTTGAATCTGAAAAACAAATAATGGCTTACCCCAATCATTGCTTCTCCCGTGACTGGATTATAAGAGACCCCTACATATGATGGTATCCTCCCACCTCTATTGCCTCTTCCACCTCTATTGGCTCTTCTTGTTGTAGTCGGTTTTGGAAT